GTGCCCCGTTTATATGTGCCCCATTTATATGTGCCCCATTTATATGTGCCCCCATTTATATGTGCCCCGTTTATATGTGCCCCATTTATATGTGCCCCATTTATATGTGCCCCCAAACAACGAATTCTGCTCCCCCTTATTATTCACATTCATGGAAGATATTCCCCTGAGATTTGAAGCTTTTCAAGGTGGAGGTAGCAAGTAAACTAGGTAGGTTTGCAGTATCACCATGGATATATCTCTTTTTTTTTTAGTATGTGGGGTTCTGATAAGAACCGGGGGTACTCAACATTTCAGACAGTGCTCTGTCTCCTGGAGACGGACACGGCATACTGTCCGAAACACTGAGTATCACCGGTTCTTTTCAGAACCCCAAATACTCAAAAAGAGATATATCCATGGTGCTACCACAAACCTATCGAGTTTACTTGCTACCTCCACCTTGAAAAGCTTCAAATCTCAGGGGAATATCACACTAGTGTGCACATAATACTGGTAGAATTGTTTTTGGCTTTGACGTCAATATCTCATTTTGATGCCAATCATCTTTTACGGTACTGTCGGAATTTTCAATCTGACAACCTGTGATAAATTGTTCAGTGCATCAAACTTCAAATGAATTCTACCAATCTATGCATGGTACTGGTACAGGCGGGGTCGTGTATTGACAATTTTTGTGGGGGGGGGCATATTTAGAAACAGTGTTTACCCAATGGGAGGAGGGCTTGTATAGCCAGGTTGAAAGGGGCTGTGACATAGAGGATCTTGTAGTCTCCTTGCTGTAGATGCTGCAGAATGCTGTAGAACCATTGTAGACAGAGGCGCCTGGTGGTTACAGGAAACAAAGCAAGTGAATTTATCTTTGTCATCAATGTTGGGCTGTAAAAAAATTATTTGTGTTTTTAAATATTTTGAAAGTTACAAAAGGTTCACCACGGTCTCAAAGCGCTGCCTGTAATGATTGCCCTTTGATTCTCCCACTGCAAGTTTAAGACACCTGCCAATTCAAAGACACTTTTTAACACTTAATGGTGCCATTTCATGGTATATGTACAGCACTGTCTTTTCTCAAAGCTCTCCAAATGTTCCTATGGGCTTACAAGCTACAGAGTCGCAGGCACTGGAAAGGAATCCGTGGTTTTCTTAAAAAGCAAATCTCTTAAAACCGATACCAACCTGTTTAGCCTTTATAGAAACCAATAAATTAAATTTCATGCCAAAAAAAGGTCGCTTGAATAGCCACTGATCATCTCATAACAACTCTGTCCTCTGCAGTGACTTCAACCCTTGACATGTGACCTCCACATGCCCAGCAGTGTGCCCTTAGAATATTTCTGGTTTGGTTTTTCTCGACTGCTTGCTGATCTACCTGCTGTCGTTGGCCACGGCGGGGTGGGGCAGCACGGTGCCCAGCAGGTTGAGGATGGTGCGGAAGTAGCTGCTGGTCTTTGAGGAGCCTGAGCCCAGGTTGGTGGAGGATAGGCCGAAGCTGCTGGAGATGAAGTGGGCGTTGCTGAGGGAAGAAAAGAGAAAAGGGCTTCGGTGAAATACCATCTTTGGCCTGTGCTTCCTCAAATTCAGCAATTTCTAGAAGCAGCGTTGTACTTAATTAGACCTAGGTGTACAAGCGAAGGAAATAGCCCTCATTGAATACGCTTGCAGACAAGCACATGGAAAACTCTTCCTGAAGTTTTCCTTTTTTAGATAGTGATTGTACGGAAAACAATAAGCTAGATAGATATTTCACTGGTATGAGTGCAGGTGAGTGTGAACAATTCACACATTTTATGTACATTTCTTTGGACTTGACTGATGACATCAACACTAGAAATAGTCTTTCTTATGATGGGCCCATGGATTATTTCAAAAACTTTCAGGCTTTATAAGAGTCAGTCGTCTGTTGTGTGAGTCAAATCCACATAAAATATAAATTGAGTGATTTTGTTTAGGAAACTTGATCAACAGTTTTTCCGTGCTAAGTAGCATGTTTCTTTTCACACATAGCGGGTATGCAACAAGATTTTTGTACAGACTTTGGATAGTGTTTTCCTTTTTGAAATGGCGAGCATGAGAAGTGAAGCATGAGAATATCAGCTGTTCTGAGGACAAGTGGCGTGGCTGGCATGCTGACACTGACCTCTCGCTGTGAGCGCACAGCGTGTTGAGTAATGAGTAGTGAGTAGCTGGGAAGCACTCGGCAATGGGCCAGTGAGCGGTACTAAGGTGCTTGGTGAGGAGCTCAAACAGGCTGGGGGACAGGGCCCACATCTGGAAACAATGCCAGGGGAAAATTGTGAACTAAACGGCACACACGGCGCAAACCACGGTTAACCACTTGCCGCCGGGTGGTTTGAAAAATGCAGAGCACATAATTGGGACTTTTCCAAGATTTTCAGTTTTCAACATTCTTCAAAAATTCTTCATTTCAACTAGTGGACGTTTACACCGACACGAATTACTGTCTGGTGGCCACTCAAGTCTGACAGACAAAATCTATTGACGCCCAAGTATTTCAGCCAGGCCTGCAGTCTTGTAAAAAGAGCCCAGATTGTGCGGTGTTATGTAACTTTCTTTTGTCCACGAACCTGGCACAGTGCGCTGCTGACCTCTTTTCAATAGGGGCCAGATTAGCGTGCACCGGTGATGTGTGGCTCATCGCTGCGGTGGTGGAGCGCTTTTGTCCCCGGTGGTAATCCGTTTGCTCTAAATGCCCCAAACCGTGGTGAAAAAATGTTGGTAATGCCCAGCAGCCTGGTCTTTTGTTCCGAGTACGGTCTTTTGTTACAAGGCCCAGTTCCCTTTGTCCCATTTCGGGTTCCCCTGCTCCGTGTATAAAGCCTACGAGCTGGGTCCCCGGGTCCTCGGCAGCAAGTGGTTAAACGTACTTTTCAGGCTGTACCAGTGGGACAGACGACACAAAGGCAACGAAAGCTTTTCCTGTCCTTGGTAGTGAGTTTTGTTCAGTTCTGTTCTCTGAGGTAGGTGCCAATATTTAGTCTAGGGGAGAGCATTATAATCTAGGAACAATAGGAAACACAATGTCTAACCTCTATGATGATGTAGATAAACACACCTGTGTGCATCTGAGAGTTAGCCATTTATACTAGCATTTTTCCCAATGTTGGTAAATTTTTTGCGTGTTTCTGCCACTTGGGATGATTTGACACCTACTAAAGTGTACTTTTTCGAGGACCCCCCCCTGTTTCTTGCTGTGGGTGCAACACAAGAAACTTACGACAATGATAGAGCTCTTGGTGCTTCCGATCTCCGACAGAGCACTCAGGTCAAACACCACCATGACCTCGGCCTCCTGCACCGTGGGCTGGATGTCCTTGATGGGGTTGTCTGAGACCAGCTGGCACCGTGCCTCTGAGCCAGTGAAGACCAGGAGGGTTTGGTAGGCGATCTCCAGGTCAGCCAGGAGGAAGCTGCCGGCAAAATGTACACACACACATACAAATTCACCAAGCAAGCCTGAAGTTTTAAAGATTACCATGATGTATTTAAGCATGATAAATTGTATTTTGCTTGCTGAAGACTAAAAGATTGTCGGATTTTGTTCAAGAAGTATCAGAATGGTTTTGAGAGGTCATGTGTGATGATAATCCCATGTAGTCAGCAAGATGCCCTCAAGGTTCTCCAATGAACAATCTCAGAAAGCATCCAAGTTTCAATCATGGAGTAGTTCTCTTTGAGCAAACCACTCTCAAGGCTGAAGACTCTCAATTCGTGAGAACTAAAGAAGGGGAAAGATGTCCAATATGATTTGGGTGTTAAAAAGGTACCATCCTCTTTTTCAAGGATGCTGAATTTTGGTGCGTTCGGAAAGGTTTCTAACAATCCAGTCAAAAAATAAGGGTCAATGTCTCCACCTTTCATTCTATCTCTGTATGGTTCCCCACCCTTATTCATGTTGAAGGAACACGAATAGGATTTGCCACTGTGGACCTGGCTTTCACCGACTCCTTAAGCTG